TTGCAGACCTGACCCTGGGCTCAGTGCTGACAGAAGATAGCCTTGCTCTGCATCTTGACCCCTCCCATGTGCACCAAGGCCCAGCAGAGGGAGCCACAAACTGTGGATCGCTTTGTGGCTCCAGACAGATAGCCGAGGGCCAGTCACAAGCAGTGTTTGAAATGACCTGCACCATAGTCTCTCTCAAGAAGCCCCAGAACTAACACACCAGGTGGTAGACTTCAGACCACATCAGAGGAGTCCAGTCTTGCATAGCACTAGGGTTAGGGTCAATCTTCATAGTCAGCCAGCCTGAAGGTCAACCCCAACCATGTAGAGGCCAACAGAATCAAGTCTAAACTACTACAGGAAATTTCATATAACCTACAAAAGATACATTCCTGCAGCACTTAGCTCAGGTGATCAGGGAGACTAGACTACTGAGTCCTATAGGACACCTACTATATATGGTCACCAAACCAAGACATAGCAGATCTACATAATACACAGAAACAAATACAGAGAGGAAGCCAAAATGGAGAGACAAAGAAAAGTGCCCCAAATTAATTAACTGGACAATTCTTCAAAAAAAGAGCTAAATTAAATGGAGGCAACAATCTACCAGATACAGAGTTCAAAACAATGGTTATAAGGATGCTCAAGGAACTTAGGGGAAAAATGAGTGAACTCAGTGAGAACTTAAAAAAAGAGATAATAGACATTAAAAAAACAACAACAACAACAACAACAACACATAAAAACCATAAAAAAAGAACCAGTCAGAAATAAAGAATACAATATCTGAAATAAAGAATACTCTAGAAGGAATCAATAACAGATTAGGTGAAGCACAGCATGGAAACAGCATTTGGAAGACAAGGTATCAGAAAATACCCAATGAGCATCAAAAAGAAAAGAAATTAAATGAGGAAAGTCTAAGGGAGCTCTGAGACATCTAGTATAGCAACATCCACACCTTAGGGGAACCAGAAGAAGAAAGAGAACAAGATATTGAGAACACGTTTGAAAAAATAATGGCTGAAAATTCCCCTAACTTGCTGAAGTTCAAAGTCACATAAGTCCAGAAAATGCAGAGAGACCTAAACAAGGTGAACCTAAAGAGACCCACACCAAGACAATTCAGAATTAAAATGCAAAGGTTAAAGACAGAGTCTTAAAAGCAACAAGGGAAACACAGTTAGTTGCTTACAAGATTGTTCCAATAAGACTGTCAGATGATTTCTCAACAGAAACATTTCAGGCCAGAAAGGATTGACACAACCACAATGGTATGAAACTAGAATTCAACCACAAGAAACACAAACACACACACACACACACACACACACACACACACACACACACACACACGGAGGCTAAAGAGCATATTACTAAACAATGAGTGGCGGCCCGCTAAAGAGGAACTTATTAGATGAGGAGGGACTGGAAGTGGGAAAATCCAGGAAGAAGTCTGCTGCATAAATCTAGATAGGAAACCCTGTAAGTCAGAGTGGTGGTAATGGGAACTCTGGCATTCGTGACCCAAAGTAGAAACAACAATGTCTGTGGTATCAGGGGAAGTGAGCCACAAATCCTGGCTCTATCATCTGTAAAGGATTTGACATCAGGCCAGTTATTATGTCTGTCATGACATGAGATGCCTCATATTTTCATTGGGCATTCTAATGAGTGTGACCACCTAGAGTAGTGGTTCTCAACCTTTTTAATGCCGCAACCCTTCATCTTGTGGTGACCCCCAACCATAAAATTATTTTCGTTGCTACTTCATAACTGTAACTTTGCTACTGTTATGAAATGTAATGTAAATATCTGTGTTTTCTGATAGTCTTAGGCGACCCTGCTAGCAGTTCTGAACCTGTGGGTCATGACATTAGAATGCTTGAGAACCACTGTACTAGAGGGTATTATGCTAAATGAAAAAAGTTAGTCAGGTACCATATTCTTGCACTTACATGTGGAATCTAAAAAGCAAAACAAAATAAATGAGCAAACAAAACAAAAACACTCATAGATACAGAGAACAGGCTGATTGATGGTAGCCAGAGGGGAAGATGTTTGGGAGGCAGGTGAAAAAAAATGAAGGGATCAAGAGGTATGAATTGGTAATTATAAAATAGTCATGGGATGTAAGTATAGCATAGGCCCTATGCCATAGGGAATACCATCAATAATATTGTAATAACTAAGTATGGTGCCAGTTGGGTACTGGAAACATCAGGGGGTGTCACTTTGGAAAGTATATAATTGTTTAAGCAGTATACTGTACACTTGAAACTATCTGTGGGTCCACAAGTTAAAATTAAATGTAACCTGTAATTAAAAATAATATTTTTAAAAAGAACTGCCCAGTCAATGTGGCTCAATAGGTGAGCATCTCTGGTTCAATTCCCGGTCAGGGCATATGCCCAGGTTACAGGCTGGATCCCCAGTAGGGGGCATCCAGGCAGCCAAGGTTTCATCGATGTTTTTTTCTTTGTTGTTCATGACCCACAGGTTGAGAATCACTACTGTAGAGCCTAAGCTGGAAAACACAGATATTTACATCATGATTCATAACAGTAGCAACATTGCAGTTATGAAGTAGCAACGAAAATAATTTTATGGTTGGGGGTCACCACAACATGAGGAACTGTTCTAAAGGGGCGTGGCATTAGGAAGGTTGAGAACCACTGATCTAAAGATAATGCACATTAAGAATAGCAGAAGGATGTTACTAATTATTGTTATCATGAATAACAACAGGCTGAATCTAGTATATATGGTAAGAAAAGAAACACAACATGGTTAATAATAAATGTTTTTGTTAATTGTTATGAATAAATGTTATTTAAGTTAACAGCTGTGAGATCTTTATTTTATTTTTTTAAAATATATTTTATTGATTTTTTTACAGAGAGGAAGGGAGAGAGTTAGAAACATTAATGAGAAAGAAACATCAATCAGCTGCCTCTTGCACCCCCCCACTGAGGATGTGCCCACAACCACGCTACTTAGGTACATGCCCTTGACCGGAATCCAACCCAGGACCCTTGAGTCCACAGGCTGACGCTCTATCCACTGAGCCAAACCAGCTAGGGCTGGGAGATCTTTAATGTAATTGCTTACTTATTTTATTTTCAGGAGACAGATATTTCACCTCCCTCTCAGAGTCATTCTAACCCTTAAAGAGAAAGCATGAAGGACTAGGGTTCCCAAGGAAAAGGCATGTCCAGGAGAAATCAGGGACGGACTCTAGGCCTACCAGTGATATGCAACTAGGCTTATCACAAGAGCACACAGGCTGATTTCATGAGTATGATATTTGGCAGCTTTTGTTCATATTATCCCTGATGTCACTTGACGGGAGTCAGTACCCTGAAGACGCCAGAGAATCTTAGGGTGAATTTTAGGAAGCACCACACTCCTGTGAGAATGCAGAGTTGGCTAATCAGCTCACTTTGAAGTGAAAAAGATAAAGGTATTAAGGGGGGAAAAAAGAAAAGGAACTCATAGACACAGACAACAATATGATGACTACCAGGGGGAAAGGAGCGTGGGTGGAGGTAGTAGACCGTAAAGGGGGGGATAAATGATGATGGAAGAAAACTTTTTGGGTGATGAACACACAATGCAATGTACAGATGATGTAGTATTATAGAATTGTACACCTGAAACCTATATATTTTTACGTCACCCAAATAAATTCACAAATTTTTTTTTAATTTTTTTTTTAAAGAACGATATACGGCGCTTTCCTTAAATACTAGTTTCTCAGAGGGGGCACATATTGACGCATTGCCCTTTGAGGCAGGCCAACACAAGCTTCAGGGACAGAAAGGCCTGTGAGCAGACAGGTGGAATTTAGGTACTTGGAAAGGAGATTCAGACAGAGGAAACGGTGAGCAAAGACCTGGGATGGATAACTTCTGAATATGCTCCAAATCACATTCAGATTACCGAATAAAAGGAAGGAGTAGTACAAATCGGGTATTCAGGCAGACAGGAGCCTGGAAACCTCAGAACCAACCTACACTCCACCCTCTCCCCATTTCCCACTTTCACCCAATCAGACTCTAAAGCCTGTCCATCATCACCCCTAAAATGCCTTTCTGCCTCTCCATCTCCATGGCAACCGCCTTCAGGCTCATTTTCATTCCCTCTTGCTTTTCATCCTAATTGCTTCCTGAGTGACCCTCCAGACAATGGGCTGCTCCTCTGTGAGGCAGCCAATCAGTGGCCTGCTTGATCATCCCGTGAATACACGACATTTAAAAGGCTCTGCGTCTCTTGTATGCTGCTTGCTTTTGCAGTTCTGTGTGCTCTCATCGCCATGTTATCTGGGTGTTAGATGGGCCCACGGATTAATTGGCATACACACGATGCCTGCTGAAAACAGGGCCAGTGACTGAACGCGCTGTGTAAACCAAGACAGGAAAGGGGAGCTGGGAATAGCTGATTCCTTCCAAGAATCCACGCCCCTTCCCCCCCCACACACACACACCCTGCCTGCCTTCCCTGGGAGTGGAGAAAGAAATCCATTCCTTCCCAAGGCCCGAGAGTCAATCCTGTACCAGATTGAAAAAAAGGACATCATCCCTGTGCATTTCTCCTCTGCATCCCGCGGACCTCGCCAATCCCAAGCCTTCATCTGGGATCTAGCCCCACCCCTGTAGGAGCCCAGCCCCCTTTCCTAGCTGACAGCGGAAGTCTGGGGGCAGGAGCCGCCCACTTCCTTTTGAGAGTCAGGGGTGTGCGTGGCAGGGGAGGCGGGGCCGATCCTGCCCAGCATTCTCGCGCGCTCGCGGGCCGGGGCGCGTGCAGGTGGCGGTCGTCCCCGCAGGTGGGCTTGCGTGGGAGTGCGCGCGGCGGCCGAGACCGTCTGGCTCCCTGCTACAAAGACTCTCGTGGCGTGGGTGGCTTCATCGGTAGCCTCTTCGAAAGGCAGAGACTGTCCCTTTCTGCAGGGGCGATAGGCATTCTTCCCTAGGATCGCTGCAGGCTCAGCGCCCCCAGCCAACGACATGCCTCGGGGACGAAAGAGCAGGCGCCGCCGCAACGCCAAGGCCGCAGAAGAGAACCGCAACAACCGTAAGATCCAGGCCTCGGAGGCCTCAGAGACCCCGATGGCCGCCTCCGTGGTCCCGAGCACCCCCGAGGATGACCTGAGCGGCCCCGAAGAAGACCCCAGCACCCCGGCGGAGGCCTCCACCACCCCCCAGGAGGCCTCCAGCACGGCTCAAGCGCAAAAGCCCACGGTCGCCCGGAGCAATTTTCAAGGCACCAAGAAGAGTCTCCTGATGTCCATCTTGGCCCTCATCTTCATCATGGGCAACAGCGCCAAGGAGGCGCTGGTCTGGAAAGTGCTGGGCAAGTTGGGGATGCAGCCGGGCCGGCAGCACAGCATCTTCGGCGATCCGAAGAAGGTCGTCACGGAAGAGTTTGTGCGCCGAGGGTACCTGATTTACAAGCCGGTGCCACGCAGCTGCCCCGTCGAATACCAGTTCTTCTGGGGACCTCGAGCCCACGTGGAATCCAGCAAGCTGAAAGTGATGCATTTTGTGGCAAGGGTGCGTAACCGCTGCTCCAAGGACTGGCCGTGTAATTACGATTGGGATTCGGATGATGATGCCGAAGTTGAGGCTATCCTCAATTCAGGGGTAGCAGATTACTTCGCTCCTTAGGGAAATCTGGCGCACACCCCCAGGGGTGTTGGGGGGCGGGGCAGGGCGGGGTGTAAAGAGCTTCACAGGTACCCCAAGGAGTTTATCACCTGGGTTCTCAGTTGGATGTGATGGGGAAGCGGGCGCGCTGTGTTTGTATTTGTGGTCAGTGCTAAGAATAGTTTGAAGTGCGACAAAGACCGTTTGCTTTGGCTATTGTAAAATGTTCTTCGCTTTAATACGATGTTGCTTAAGGTCACACGAGATGTATCAAATACGATGGAAGAAAAGGTGTCTTTCTTTTAATGTCTTTTGATTTAGTGTAACAGTTTTGCTAACGTTAAACAATGAAGCCTTTTCATCATATTCTGTGATCTGGTACCTGTTTTATAGCATTGAATAGTCTGTTCTTTGAAATAACCAGTAAACTGTGAAAGAAGGATGGGGCAGTGGGGGGTGAGGGGGTGGGGAGGGGAAGGGTTCATTTATGTCTGACCTATCTGAAAACCTTTGTGTCTGCTGTTGTGTATAGAAGACTTAAGACTTACCGTGATGTTGCTTAGTTATTGCAGAATATAGGGGAAGAAATAAAAGCATAATATCGAGGACACTTTGCTCATTTATTGACCACCAGTCATGTGTGAATCACCACTGTACATCCTGAAAATACTCATTGGCACGCAGCCCTCCGTTCTAAAGAATGGTATAGATTACATGGGAAAGGAATATATGAACTGGCAGTGTGGTAAGTGCTGTACCAGGGATGAGCTTGGGGTGCCATGAAAATGGAGAAAAGCTATCTTGGGTTGGAACAGGAAGAAGACATCAGAAGGAGCTATAAAAATCCAAGAGTTGGCTTGGGGCGATTTGAAAGGGGCATCAGAGCATACTACGAGAATTCTGTACACTGGGTACTTTTGGGATACCTAAACCAGCTGGGCGGAAGTGACATTGGCCAAGGGAAGGGAGCATCATGGGGGTGCAGTGGAAATAGAAAGTACACCTAAATCAGCTGGACAGCAGGGCAGAGGAGAGAGGGCTGCTTGCAGGAAATAGGACATGGTGAGGCACTGCATAGATTAAAGAGGAGACTGTCAGAAAATTCTGGGCGATATAACAGCCTGGAGTCTGAAAATCATATTGGAGTTGGGGGAAAGAGTAATAGGGAGGCACTAAAGGCAGTGTGGACATTAGGGGAAACACTTGTCATCGAACTATTAAGGATATGTCAAGATAAAGTGGAGAACAAGAAATGAGATGGGAAGGAGGTAAGCAGGGTCTAGGACATCAAAGGGAGGGAGTTATGTCCAGGTATATTGTTAATAATAATGATAATCCTAGAATAATGGGAAGAAATGGCTCCAAAAAATGCATACACTCTTGGATGAGGCAGAGAGAAGATACAACTGGGGGAACATCTGAAAGGTGACCTGCCATTTCTCTCAGGAACTACCCTCGGTGAGAGTGTACAAGTTGTTTGAAAAGTGCAGTGTGCATGCATGTCCACGGGATGGGGCGGAATTAGCATTCTGACTGTCTCCTTCAGCCAGTGTGGTAAGTCCAGAGGACCATCTGGCATGGTGGTGGCCCCTGCTACATACTAAGTCATGTGGGATCCGCTTCCTATCCTCCTCCAGCTTTCAGACTAACCTCCTGGTACCAAGAATTTAATGCCCTCCTCATCCATCCTATCACCGGGCCTTTGGAAGTCTCTACCTCACCCTGAAGCAAAGGTGGAGATGTGGGAGTCTACCATCACCTTCTTAACAGCTACTGGCAAACAACACACATAAGGAGCTGTGCCCCCCCCCTCCCCCAAGTGACCACATTTACCCCCTAAAACTCGGCACTTGATGGACAAAGTCCACTGACAGGGAACACAAGGAAGGGTGCCCCACCTGGCCTTGTGGGGCCCTGAGGCCACAGTTATCACACACACTGCCTTTGCCTCCAGTCAGTCCTACTCTGCCTCCTGCTGTGTGCGAGGTCAAGTCCTTGGGACAGGCTGGCTAGCAAGTGACTTCCTGACAAGGGCTCAGGGACCCACAGAATGAAGCCTGCAGGCTCAGGGGGCTTCAAAGGGAAGCAGGAACTATGACCCCACCAGCCTCAAATTCAGTCAGCGAACAAGGACCTAGAGGGCCCCAGAGGATTCAGGCAGAGTGACAGCAACTGGGCTGCCCTGGAGGGGCCATGTTTCTCAATACCACCTCCAGATGTAGACAGGTGTGAATCCCAGGTTCAGATCCCTAAGAGACTTTCCTGTCCAGAGCCACAAGGGAAACAGGTGACCTGTCCCAGACAAGGCCCCAGTCCATCCCCACAAACACCGAGTGTTTCCCTGCAGGCCCTGCGGTCCCTCTCTGCCTGCCACAGCGCTCACAAGGGCCTTGTCTACCGAAGACAGCGGAGGCCTCAGCCCAACAGGCCTCAGGAACCCCGAATGCAGCCCGAGTTCTCTTGGGGACGAAGCTGATTACAAATGCTCCCCTTTCGTAGACAGCAGCTCACAGAGGGCAGGCGGGCCCAGGCCAGGAGCTCTGTTGGCTAGAGCATCTTCCCCCTCCACCAAGCCTGAGGGCACATCGGTAAGGGGGAGGAGAGCTGCAGAGCAAAGATGTACTGAGGATCTCCTCTGCACCAGGGCTGGCCATATATCATCTCTGCCAGGTCAGTAAAGTGACATACACACTCCAATTTATAGCACGCACCAGCTAGCTCAGGGAAAAAATACTGCGCGTTCATTCCAGTAATGTGGGTAGGATGGGAGAGCAGCGGGTCACCCTGGACATTCTGCTGTGACCCCCCTTGCCAGTTGGCTGATTACACACACACACACACACACACACACACACACACACACACACACACACGGGAGAAGATGGCTACGTGCAGCTGCAAGCTGGAAATGTAACGTGGAAAGGGGAGGGGAGGGGAGGGTCTGCAGTCTGGCCTTCAGAGCTCAAAGTCCGATAACAAGGCGGCTACTCTTCTGTGATGTTACCAAAGGCTCAGCCCCTTCCTGGGACCGGAGAATGGTCAGCGTTCCTGACAAACACGCCCGGAGGGGGTCAGGGTCCGGGCAGAGCCACCAAAGCAAAGCATGTCCTGTCTTGCTCTGTCCTCAAAAAGTACTTCTCTTCTGAGCAATGGACCCATGGAGGCCTCTTATCTTCTGACAGCCTTGTTCCATCCTCCAGGCTCCCGGGGTCTGTAAGGAAACTTATCTGTGGTTGGCAAGGTGAATCAGACAGTGGTGGCTCCATTCTTCCTCGGTGCCCTTCCCCCTCCTAGATCCTGTCTGAGTCCACGTTCCCTTTGGCTCTGCTGGGCAGTAGCCCTCCCAAGACCTCCATGGTTATTTGCAAGCGTGGGGCAAGAGCTTAACTCTGTCAGAGAGCCAGTAAAGGGGAGAGAGGGTGGGGCATGCGACCCCCTGCACAGAAAGCCAGGGCTGCTGACTCCTGAGGGCCCAGGCAGGAGGCTCCACAGGGAAGTGCAGAAGGTGGAGTGACCTGGCCAAACACAGCCAGGAAGCAGTGACCGCCCGAGGCCCATCGCCTCCCCCCTGGCCTGGAGGTGACAGTGTGTACTCACCCCTCCCCACCCCATCCCCTGGATTGGTGCTGCAAACAGCTAACCTTCAGCTGATGAGCTCACCACTGCACAAGGGCTGCACTTCCAGGGCCAGGGAATGGACAGCAGGGCAGAGGGAGAGGCAGGAAAGGGGGAGGCAGGAAAGGGGGCTCCTGGAAGGAGAGGGGGGAAACGGAATCTTCATGGTTTCTTTTCTTTCCCACAAATCCCCACAGTCTCACAGTCAGTGAGCATCCACATGGGAACCAGGCTGGGAGCTTCTGAAGTGTCAACCAGCAGCCTAAGCGCCCCACCACCCAGCAGAGTTTCCAGGGAGTGAGTTAGAAAGATGCAGCTTTAGTGGCCAGGAGACCGCTGAACTGCATTGAGATTCTGGGTCCTAGAGCCCCCAGTTGTTCATGAAGCTCAGGTAGAGAGAGCCCCACGCCCCCAGTGCCCAGCAAGACTGGCAGCTGCCATTCCCAGCGCGCCTAAGCTGTGCCAGCCACTTTGATGGCCACTGTCATGTCTCTCACTCTTGCAGCAGTCAGCAAGGTGGGCGCCCCAGGCCATGCTTACAGAGGGAGAAGCTCAGGTCAGATATCAGAGGCAGGTAGCTAGTTCCCCTGGTCAGCCACTGACAGCCTTGGACATGGGTTCAGGGCCAGCCCAGTCCAAAGCCCCAGCAGTTTTACTAAAACAACCACTGCATCACAGGGACACCGGACACTCCACCGGCCCTGGGAGTCTTCTGTGTTCACATTCCGCACAGCCCTGCCAGGGGGGGAAGAGCACGCTGGGGAGGGCAGAGGGGTGGGACTATAAAGCCAATGAGGCATTTGGGGATCAGAGTGAAGGTCCTTCCTGCTGATTGGGTGCGGGCCCAGCCACCACGTGTCCTTGAGGGGTTGCCATGTGTGGAAGGAGGATTTCTTTCCCAGACAAGTATGTCTCTCCCATCCCAGCACATGGCTCAGCCACTCCGTTGATCTTCAGCTCCCAGGTCCTGGCTCTCTCACAGTGGACCCACCAAACAGCAGACTTTCTGGGCCTGCAACCTTGTTAGCTGATCCCCTTTTCCATCCAGAAGGTACAAAGGCCACAGAACTCTTACCTTGAGCAGAGCGGGAGCCTGGTGTGAGGCTCAGGCAGCCAGCGGTGGGTGTCAGAAAGGCAGGCTGAGGGGTGTGCTCCTTGGCCCAGGGCTGTGGTCTTATGCTCAGCGGTCAGGGGCAGAGGACAGACCACAGCCCTGGAGGAAGGCAGATGTGGATGCCGCCTGGTCACGTGTCCCCTGGAGGTGGGTAGCGGCCAGGCTCCCACTGTCTCCTTCCCTTGGCAGGAGCACACAGCCCCCGCTCTCTGAGGGCAATGGTTTTGACGCAGTGGGGCTGCTGGAGATCAGTGGTTGCCATGAAGATGTAATGAGATCTGAAGCAGGTCAC